TTCATCTTGTCAATGTAAGTTTTGATGGATTGAATTTATGCAGATTTGGTTTTCCTGTTGAGAATTAATTTCAATACAACTGTGTGGGAATTCTTTTTTTGCAGCCTTTGTGTTTACTAAATCTTAATTATTGTCATTCAAAATTTACTTACTATATAAATACTGTTGTCAAAGGAGTTGATTATTAGATAATTGGAAATATATCTGATTATGTTATTCTGTTGGGCGTCTATATTGTTATTTGGCATTAATCTTGGCTGATTTTGGGATTTGATCTCATGATAATATGAAGCACACGAGAAACATTTTACATGACTTTTGATTTGTGTAAAATGTGCAATGGTCATGTTTTTCAGTAAATTTAGTGTAAACTTAGTTCTGTAACTGTATTCTAATCCAAAAAGCAAGCATGTTCTTAATTGATTCATCATAAACTTAGTTTTGTTGTTGTATTCTAATTCAATAAAGTTTTGAGGTCTGAAGTTTTAACTTTAATTTATAGGTATAGAATTTGTGTTTATTTTTATTTACAGACTGTCTTTATTTTGAAAAATTACAATTTTATAGATTGGTATTGTTCATTGATTATGCAATGGAGGCAATTGGAAACGCTGGCAGTGCAACAGTATAGTAAACACTAAACAGTATGATTAGTATATAAAATTGTAAACACTATGAATAGTTGGTCAGATTAAGATGAAGATGAAGATGAACAATATATCATGGAATTAAATAGTTTGTAGTATATAAGTTTAAGATGGAAGATGGCATCTCTACTTCTCTTTATCCTTTTAAGATGAAATCTTATTCTTTAGATCACATCCTTGAAAACCTAGGGTTTATAGAAAAGGAAACTCTATGAAACCTTCGAATATGATAGATTTCATTATGATATAGTGAGTGTTGTCTCGACCACAAACGTTTGAATCTATGGTGGGATCACGGATTATTCGAGGAGCTGAGGATCGGATTTTTCTACTCTCTGTGAATAATAATCAACTTTATCAGCATAGGGTCAAGGGGCAATTGTGTTTTCAGTATTTTGACCCCATCATAGATTACTTTGAAACCCTTACATCCCCTCTCGCACCTGATTATGTACTTAGTCTTACTGTCACATTTAGTTACTTTTTTTTTTATTAGCAGCCATATATATATATATATATATATATATATATATATATTTGTTCATTAGGGACACACGAAGTAAGTACCCTAAGTGTGTCTTTAGTTTCAACATCAGATTCTCAACATAAGAGAAGATGATGTATTTGTTGTATCGATTTGATAAGAAACAAATTCCTCATCTCTTTAGTCAGAATGGTGACATAGGGTTTTCAGATTAGTTTTTGGATGAAACTCAAGTTCTGATTGCCTTTTATGGTACTGAGCTTTATGCATATCATGTTAGAATCTAGAACGGTGATCTTGATCCCATATCTTATAGGGTTCTAAAGGAAAGTTGTTATCCTGAAAGCATGGATAACTTTATAACTAGGAATAGTGTGTATACCATGTGTTAACACACTCTGATACTATGTGTTAATATGCTCTGATACCAAGTGTCAATATGCTCTGATACCATGTATTAACAAGTTCTGATACCATGTGTATCAAGCTTTAATTTCGATAATATTAAATTCCTTTTGTTATTTTTCCAGTACAACATCAATTGCAATTGAACGCTAGAAATGGCAGATTCCCAATATGTTTACTTATGTTGTAACAGAGCACTCTACTGTGTTACAATCGAAAAAGAATTTAAGATTGAACATGTATTCTCTAATCTCCCTATCTATCAGACACTTTTCAATCACAACCATATTGTATATGCGGTTGGTGGCACAGATGGAGTTACGTTTGTATATAGCCGCGGGAAGTACATTTTTTATCCCAGTAGGTTTCACAAATTACTTATTGAAAGTCAGCGTTGTCTCGACCACAAACCACGGGATTTTGAATCTTTGGTGGGATTATGGGTTATTCGAGAAGCTGAGGATAAGATTTTCCTACTCTCAGTGAATAATAATCAACTTTATCAGCATAGGGTCAAGGAGCAATTGTGTTTTCAGTATTTTGACCCCATCAGAGATTACTTTAAAACCATTGCCTCCCACCTCTCGCACTTGATCATGTACATAGTCTGTCACATTATGTCACTTTTTTCTTAGCGGTCATATATATTTGTTCATTAGGGACTCACGAAGTTAGTACCCTAAGTTTGTCTTTAGTTTCAACATCAAATTGTCAACACAGGAGAAAAGGATGTATTTGCTAGATCGATTTGATAAGAAACAAATTCCTACTCTCATTAATAACAATGGTGACATAGGGTTTTCCGATGAGTTTTTGGATGAAACTCGGATTCTGGTTGCGTTTTATGCTACTGAGCTTTATGCATATCATGTTAAAATTTAGGACGGCGATCTTGAGCCATATCTTACAGAGTTACAGGGTTCTAAAGAAAAGTGGTTATCCTGAAGGCAGAGATAACTTTATAAGTAGTAATATTGTGTATACCATGTGTTAACATACTTTGATACTATGTGTCAATATGCTCTGATACCTTTTGTTAACGAATTCTGATACCATGTGTTTCAAGCTCTAATTTCGGTAATCTTCAATTCGTTTTATTCTTTTTTCAGTATTACATCAATTGCAATTGAACGTTAGAAATAACAGATTCCCAATATTTTACTTTTGTTGTAACGGAGCATTCTATCGTGTTACAATCAAAAAAGAATTCAAGATTGAGAATGTATTCTCTAATCTACATATCTACCCGGCACTTTTCAATCACAACCATATTGTATATGTGATTGATCGTACAAAGGAAGTTACATTTGTATATAGTCGCGGGATGTACATTTTTTATCCCAGTAGGTTTCACAAATTACCTATGGAAAGTCAGCGTTGTCTCAACTAGAAACCACAAGATTTTGAATCTATGGTGGGATCACGGGTTATTCGAGGAGCTGAGGATCGAATTTCAACCTACCATTGGTCATTGCACAATGGACAAAAACATTTGAATTTTGTTTCTCTCAAACGAACAAAGTGCTACAAGAGCATTTGCACAAGAAGTGTGAAATTGTTTTCAAGTAAACCAATATACCAGTGAGAGAGAAAGTGCTACAATTCAAGATCAAGAAAGATTTTGGTAGATACAAGAAGCATTCACAAGTCTACATCCAGTTGGAGAAGAGAATATCATTTTTATTCATCCCAACATCTCTACTCGTTGAAATAGAAAGAGGAGTAATAAGTGAAACTTGTGAAAACGCAAGACTTGTGATCAAAGCACAAGTCCTCTTCATTTGTATATGAGTGATATATTAATAGAATATCCTAAGAATTTCTAGGAGAAGGTAGTGGAGTATGAAGAGCCTTCGAAACTTATGGAAACTAATTCTCATTTTCTAAATTAGTAGTGCAACATTAGTTCTAGAATGAATTCCTTGCTCAAGCTTATCATAATTAGATGATTATAAGTTTAATTCTTATCAAGATCTTATCAAAAAATCTCCAAACTACTACATATAAATAAATTTAATTTTAATCAAAACATTCTTATAAAAGCTTGCTGCTACATTTAAAAAAAAATATTTTAAATGAAATCCGCTAAAATAAATCAACATAAATTACTAATAATTATTGATCAATTCAAACTAAGGGTGTGTTTGGAAACCTGAAAAATGAGTTCTGGAAATCATTTTCCAAGTTTCCATTGTTTGGTTGTGCATGGAAAATCAAGTCAACGGAAATCATTTTCCGTTGACTTTGGAAAATAGGCTTATTTTGGAGGAAAATGACTTCCCCTTTTTTTTGGGGGAAGTCATTTTCCAACTTTTACACCAACATCACACCACCACCAACATCAACACCATACCACCACCACCTCACTACCACCATCACCACCACTACTGTCGCCGCCACCACCGCCACCACACTACCACTACTGTCGCCGCCACCACACCACCACCACCACTACCACCACCAACACCATACCACCGCAACCACTACCACCACCAACACCATCAATACCATACCACCACCACCATCATACCACCGCAACCACAACCACTGCCACCACCGCCACCACACCACCACCACTATCACCACCGCCGCCACCACCGCAACCACCGTCGCTGCCGCCACCACCACCACTACCACCGCCGCCGCCGCCACCACCATCACACCACCACTACCACCATCGCCGCCGTCGCCACCACCACCATACCATTGCAACCACCGTCGCCGCCACCATACCACCGCCGCCACCACCACCACCATACCACCGCAACCACCGCTACCACCACCACCATCACACCGCCGCTACCGCCGCCGCCACCGCAACCACCGCCACCACCACCATCACACTGCCGCCGCCACCACCACCACGACCATACCACCGCTACCACCGCCACCACCACCACCACCATACCACCGCTACCACTGCCACCACCAATTATTATTATTATTATTATAACTATTACTATTATTATTATATAACAAATAACACCACTACCACTACACCACCACCACCACCACCATAATATTTTTGATATATTATTAGTTACTCCGTATTTTTTTTATTATATTTAAAATTATTATTATATTATTATATATTATTAGACATGTTATAATATTCTAAATAAAATAATTTAAATGTTTAATTATACAATTCCACTCATTTTCCAGAAAATGAACCAAACACACAAAAACAGTTTTCCAGAATGCAACCAAACACGGTAAAGGAAAATGTTTTCTGGAAAAAAACTCATTTTCCGGAAAATATTTTCCAGAAGTCATTTTCCAGAAGTCATTTTCCTGCTTTCCAAACGGACCCTAAGAGACAAATATTCATACTTGAAAGTTTTAAAACCTATAAGCTGCCATTCGCCCATTCACAAGAAATACTCCGAATATATAGTATTTTCCGAGGGAAATGCATTTTTTTTTAAAAAAAATTGTTTTATTTGCAGTATAAAATTCCAGACATTTACCATTCTTGTTCGCGAAAAGCAACAAAAAAAAAAAAAAAAAAGTGCCGATGCCAGTCCAGGAACTCAACGCGCGTGTACAACACCTCACGGTATGCTGCAACGGCGGAGAAGCTGACGCCGAGGGCCGGGTGTGGTCGGAGATCAGGGACGAGGCGAAGCGTGACGCCGAATCGGAGCCGGCGCTGGCGAGCTACCTCTACTCCACCATAGTTTCTCACTCCTCCCTGTCTCGCTCCCTCTCCTTCCATCTCGGAAACAAGCTCTGCTCCTCCACCCTCCTCTCCACGCTCCTCTATGATCTCTTCCTCAACACCTTCTCCTCCGATCCCTCCCTCCGCGCAGCCACCGTCGCCGACTTGTGCGCCGCCCGTGTCCGCGACCCTGCTTGCATTTCCTTCGCTCACTGCCTTTTGAATTACAAGGGCTTCTTAGCCATTCAGGTAACTATTTCTCTCCTTTTTATTAGGGTTTTTCGCAGAGTGAAGGTATTTTTTTCTAGGTTTTCAATAATTCTATGCTTCCATCTGTTGTGTGTAATGCAATAAGATTTTTCCTGAATTCAACACACAATTATACAAACTACAAAGAGATTAAAAGATAAAGCATAAGCATATTATCAATGGAGTGTAATTATGTAAATCCAATTATAATTAAACCAAACAAGTTAAATTAGATTAACAACTTAATCACACAATCTATAACCTAATCATAAGTAGAGAATGTGCACTCAATCACTCATATGCATACACACAAAAAATTGAAGGTAAGAGAATTATTCAAATCTACTAAAAAAATTCAATTTCAGAAACATAGAAATCAAAAGTAGTTAAACTGAGTTGAAACAAAAAACCAACAGAGAGAGTCCGGAGAATTTGTTATTTATTTTGAGTTGTTGAACCTCTTGCAAACGGCTGCTTCAACACTTCATAAATAACAGGTTAGAGAAGTAAAGTGGCAGTGGAGCTGCTGAGTAGAAACCTGGTTAAGGATTTGATAGTTCAATTAGTATTTTTCCCTTTTAGCACATACTAGAGATAATCTTCTATCTTTCTCTAGCTAGCTAAATCTTATCACCCATTGAGTCCCAAAAATTTTCTTGTTTGTATTCCTACGACGATACACACAGTGAGATTGATGAGCAATTTTTGATCTACTCAACTTTTCTTTTGTAAATGAACAATTAAGTAATTGGAATACACTAATCAATGCACTTGTAGGATTTTCCTAGTCATGTACTTTGATGGGTTCTTAATATTTAAATTTAACTGTTTGTCTAGGTAAGTACAGTAGTTATTTAATAATTATAGGTGGATAAAGTGAAACTTCTAATTACAGGTCTACGGTGGAAATGTGGAATTAACCCTATCCTTTATGAGTATGAGTGTAAATAATCCATTTTCAATTTCAAGTTTCTTAATATATTACTGGTGTAACTACTGACTTGAATGTGGTAAAAAGTTTGGCACAGTACATATTCTTGTTTTTAGAGAAATCCTTGCCAAACACAACCACAATTTAGCTGATGGTTATTGCTGATTTTTCTTTTTCTTTTTTTTTCTTCCCCCAAATATAGGCTCATAGGGTGGCACATAAGTTATGGCTACAGAACAGGAAACCAATAGCTCTGTCACTACAATCTAGGATAGCAGATGTGTTCTCGGTGGATATACATCCTGCAGCAAGGATAGGCAAAGGGATATTGCTGGACCACGCGACTGGAGTGGTGATTGGAGAGACAGCAGTCGTGGGGAACAATGTGTCCATGCTACATCATGTGACATTAGGTGGAACCGGGAAGACTAGTGGTGATAGGCATCCTAAAATTGGAGATGGAGTCTTGATTGGCGCTGGGGCAACCATACTGGGAAACGTAAAGATTGGTGAGGGAGCGAAGATAGGAGCTGGGTCAGTGGTGCTGGGTGATGTGCCACCATGGACCACGGCGGTTGGAAGTCCTGCAAGGCTCGTGGGTGGGAAGGAACAGCCTAAAGTTCATGAAGATGTCCCTGGGGAGTCCATGGATCATACTTCGTTTATATCTCAGTGGTCTGACTACATTATTTAGTGTGTGCTCTCAAGAAGAAAACCATGGTTGTTTGTATGTTCACGTTTTCAGATGTTTGCATGTGAGTGTTGACCTGGTGTCAACTTGATGAGAATATTAATATTGAAATGTAATTTTCTTGTAAACTAGGTGAGAGTTTATCTCATGTAGGAAATCGGAATGTGTTTCATAGGATCCATGAAGGTTGGTGTCATGTCTAAAGAGAGGAAGCTTATTCCCATAGGAGACCCCAAGAGGCAGAAAACAAAACATTCCAATAATCAAAATTAACTCTGATCTTTTGAGAACTATTGAATTTATTATTTGCATGTTAATCATAAAAATAGGGCTCAGGTGAGTACTGGCCTCTTTCTTGTTTCAGTTCAGTAACTAAAGCATGGCTACAACATATTGGTCCATCAGAATGAGCTAGTAGGCTACATGACGCAATAGTTTCAACAGAAAAACAAAGCAACCTTAATTTGCCTGGCCTGCAGTAAAAGGAAACAGGGATAGCAATAGATTCAACAGAAAACAAAGCAACTTTAATTAGCCGGCCTGCACTAAAAGGGAACCGGGATAGCTTTTGGCATGGCCTTGTGAGTCTTGATTGAAACCGTCTGAAACTTGGATTGAGCCGCCGGTAACAACTGGCTCTCTTCTTCTGTGCAGATCTTGTCAATGAGATTAAGCAGAACGCACTCGAGCTCTTCACCGTCACTCCATTCATGAATCTCAGCCTTCAAGGCCATCCGGTTTTCGGTTATCAATTTCCACACTGGGAAATCTTTCCTTGGCATCACAAAGTCTACCTCTTTCAGCTTCAGGCTCGGGCAGAAATCACCCGCCCCGTCACCAAGGTAAATCATTCTTTTCTTCCCTTCCTTAGCCAAGGACCCTTGAATCCTCTCTATAATCTTACCCTGTAGGTAAGAATAAATCCTTGATTAGAATAAGAGTCTGCGAACCAAGCAGCCCATGTGTTGTTTGGAGTGAAAAAGAATAATAATAATAATAACAATATGTCTATTTAGCCACTGCTATTGTTGTACTGTACTGTGGGACATATGGAGCAACCAACCTACCAGAATCCCAGTTTTAGTAATTTGTTTTAGTTTCTGTAAAAGTTAATAATAATTGAATAATGTTGAAACAGGGAATATTCTAACCACATCACAATATTTCCCTTTGCATGCATATATATCATGCAATTATATTTGAGTATACCTTGCACATGTTGGGTGGGCAGACATTGTTGCAGCCGTGGGGAGAAGAGTGGAAATCATGGTAAGGGCGGATTCTTAGCCGGCCTTCCTCGTCAACAAACCCCGGGTTTGTGTAGATCTCCGAGAAGCATTCGCCAATGGCGTGGTGTTTCAAGATCGTTTCTATGTAGAACAGGTTCGCATCGCTCACTATTCTCAACTCACACCTGGAAATGATGAAAACACCCGTCCACACAACATGCATTCAAAAATGAAAGTTTAATGATTATAATCAGATAGATAGACCAAATACATTAATATATATATGATTACCCTAAAGCATAAGCTGATTTGATGGCAGGAACAATCCGGGGATGGATCGGCGTCCGTTTGAGAACCTCTTCAATGTCCTCCATCTTCTTCCCCTTCTCGTGCATCTCATTCATCATCTTGTCCTGCCATAATAAATATCAAATCAAGAAATCTATCAGAGCAAGCAACACTGACGATCGGAGAGAAATGAAATGAAAAGATGAAGTAATTAACCATGACAGAGTTCCATGGCATGGTGGGGAGGAGTTGGTTGAAGCGATCAGTGAAACCCAACCCATCCACAACCCAGTTGTCGCTGTCCACGTCGATAATGGTCTTGTCAAAATCAAAAACCACGACGATTCCGGCCATTTGTTAGTGTTTTTTGGTTTTCTTGAGGTTCGAAAGGGACAAGAGAAAAAGGGAGACAGGGAGGGGGCTACGTGTGTGTGTTTGTGTTTTGGGTAGAGAGATAGAGAGATATATATAGAACAGAAAAAGTGAATTAGAGAGAAGATGCCAAGGGAATATTATTTGGCCATATTTGGTGTTTGTTGTACAGAGAACGATTCTTGGGGCGACCTAAATTACTATTTTTCCTATTCTTTGGGAAGGGGTGTGGTGTTACTGTTAGAGATGTAGTAATCCTCGTAGCAAATAGGTCTTTGTGATTCTGGCCGTTGGATTTTCTCGGATGATCTATGGTCAGCATTGAATGGGCTTTTTAGGCAGAGGAAATGAATATGACAGAGTATTCTGGGTGGGGGCAGTACATTTAATTCTATGCAGCGACGGTTCTTGAAACCTCCTGGTTCCGGCGGCTGTGAATTTCGGCAGGGCAGCTGGCTAACTTTGCTTTGCGGCTTTAAGGACATAATGTGCGTTGGTCGCTTCTAGTATCAAGATGATCTGTTAATACGATACAAAATCGAACACAAAAATAATGGCAAATTATGCCGTGCAACCGAATGCACCAGTGCACACAAAATTAGATTCATAATTTTTATACTATAAATTCATAATTATTGAACTTATATTTACAATTACAAAATTCTATGTTCATAATTTTCAATATTTATATTCTTAATTGTTAAACTCTGTATTCACAAATCACTGAACATAATTATGGATTTGATTCCGTGTGTACCTTGCATGGTGCATACGGTTGCACAGCATAACGCTCCAAAAATAATGAGTTAGTGTTTATTATTAACATGTGTCTCAAGTCATTATTAGGTTAACCCGTTAAGAAATCGTTTAAGTTTCATGCCTTAACGGGTCATTATAACATGTCCCTAGAGAATAGTATATATGAGTGATAATTGACTAATTAGTGGTCATGGACCCTATGAACATATCACTAGACTTATGAGAAGGTAAATCAAGTCAAAATATAAATTTTTGCGCACAAAAAATCTAACTAAAATCTAAATCTCCAATATTTATGATGGAAATTAAACCCCATCCTATTGCTATAAATAATTTTTAAATAAGACTTTCATCTACTAATTAGTGTCATTCTTATAAACTTTTAGTATTATTTTTATGCAACGTCTATATTATGGACCAGGGTGCATGCACCCAAGGCATACCTTTTTTTTTTTTGTCTTACTTACATTTATTTTTCTCGTTTTCATTTAAAAATAAAATAAAATTAATATATAAAAAATATATCATTAAAAAGCTCTAACTGATATCGTTTAATGATTGTTGGTCTCAATAAATAGAAAAAGTCTAGAGCATGGTAAATAGACATATATTTTGAAATCTTTTCAAAGTAACATAACAAGAAATATTTATTACCCCTTTTTAAACTTTGTTTGCATGTATTCTACTCTTATAAATATTTGGTTTTGTTGGTTATATATATGCTAGAAAATAAATGGCTGTGGGCTCTGCTATTTCTCTTATGTGATTTTGATGTAGCTAGTCCGTGATATAATTTTCCATTACTGCTCATTACACCTTTATGTTTGTTTGAGTGGAATAATGATTGTATACTTTTAAGTAATTATTATTGTTTCTTTTACTTTATAATTCTTTTCTCTTTTTTTTTTTCGATTTTAAAAGTTAAATTCCCAACTCTATATTAGGAGTGTTTTTTCGATTTTAAAAGTTAAATTCCCAACTCTATATTAGGAGTGTTAGACTAAATATATCACATGCATCATATAATATGTGATAACAGAACAGGACTGACTAACCTCCCGCCATAGTTTGAGCGATCCAGACTGCTGCAGAGATAACGAGTATTTTGTCTCTCACTTTACTCAGCTCTCTCTAGATGGTGTATGAAGGATGTAATATGAGCACTGAGAGGACTAGTGACCACCTTATATAACCATTGGTCGTCATTGTGGTTGATTGTCTTTAGGTCTCCTAAACCCTAATTAGACTCCTAATAATAATAGTAGTCTAGCTATTAGGTTATTAGCTATTAGGTTATTAGTGTTGCACCACATATCAAATACTAAATATTATCATAATTTATCCTAATGTTATAATAATAGTAACGGATAAAACGTTACAAGGAGGTCATAGGTCACCCAATAATTATTAATTATTACAGTATTTTGGAGTGTTTTTTTTTTTCCAGTGCATGTCTTTCACAATAAGAAGATTTGCGAAAAATTGGTTTCTTTTCTTTTAAAATTTTCTTTGCATAATCTATACACTTGTCTACTTCACGAGAAGAAGAATAATGACACCGACACCACCCCCCAAAAAAAAATGTACTGTAATATTTTCTGTTTGATTTATTTTATTAATTTTTTGAATAAAAGCTCTTCAAATGGTTTTTGTTTTGTTTTGTTTATTGATGAAGGCTATTATAATGTGCACCGATAGCATCAATGGAACTCCAGATCCGGTGGCCGATATAGCAAGAAGGAAAGAAATAGTCACGTAACACAATTGAAATGTTCGTTCAATCAACGTTTAATTTTTCTTTCCGTGATAAGGTGAGAGTTTAAACCCCATTAAAAACATAAAAAGATTTTGATCAATTAGTAATAGTGAAAATCATTTATGAATAAAGTGTACGGGTAGTGAAAACATGGAATTACTTGGATAATTCAAAATTTACCTCATTCATGGGCCTTAGAGCAAGGGATGGCAACGGTGCAGGGAGGGGTATTTCCGTCCCCGTTTTTCGAAAATTTTCTCCATCCATGTCCTAGTGTCCCTCTCGAGACAGGGATCAAAGATCCCTGTCAGGAACAGGGCAAATTGTCATCCCTACTTAGAGCATATACATAGACCCAAGATATAGTAAGCTGAGAAACCTGATTTATTTATTTATTTATTTTTTTTATAAAAAAAAAAGAAATAGTTAAGAGGGATATGGCTGAAATGGTACAGTTTATGTGGATGATATTGTGTTACCCGTGCAAATCTTAGTCACATTCAACAATTTAAAGATTCTCTTTATGAATTTTGCATATCAAGGATTTGAAACCCCTACACGTTTTTTTTTTCTTTTTTTCTTTTTTCTTCTTTTAGCGTTTGCGAATGTCTTTTAGTGAGGAAGATATAAATCTTTATCAGCGGAAATATGCCTAATTTTTAGTGTTAAACAGATGTTTTAGTTTGGAAGCAGGCAGGTGCCATACAACTCCACGTTCACTACTTGACAATTACAAGTAATTGTCTTATTATATAGTTATGTCTATTGTCAATTGTCTAATTTAATTTCCCATTCAATTCAATCAATTGGCAGTGTTTTTCTTCTTCTTCTTCTTCTTCTTCTTTTTTTTTTTTTTTTTTTTTTTTTTTTTTTGTGTGTGTGTGTGTGAGAATATTTTGTATTTCGACAAAAAAAAAAAAAAAGAAGGTACTAAATATTATGTTCTTTATTTTATATTAGAAATTATATAAAACAATTAGTTTAAATTAAATAAGTATATTACCAAGTATGCAAATGGATTCAAATCTTGAAAGTATATATATTTGATGAATAAACTAAGAATACGGTCCTAGAGCACATATTCTACGTAATTTGTTTTAAATATTCGAGCATAATAATACATTAATACCAATTTACGTATATTATTAAGTATATTCCGATCCATAAAAGAAATATATTCAATTTGATCGTACTAATAATATACCAAACATCATAATGGCAATTTCAAAGTAGGCATGTGTAATATATTCTTTTTCTTTTTTTTTTCGAAATAGTCATAATTCTTTACAAGTAGTAGTTGTTTTAAATTTTTTCAAATTCTTTCATTCCAAAGAATCAATGCCTCCACAGCTGGGAGCCTGGGAATCCCGGGATATCCAAATCCAAATTACCCGTTCCCAACCCAATCTGTCCATATATATATATCTAATTTATATCTAATTTATGCTACTCGTACGTGTATATATCATATATCATATCTAATGAATGGTGTACCACTGTACCCTGATTGACTGAATGGATCGGCCCATGAGAATAACTAGATCAATGAAGCCTAATAGGGAGGCCCAAAGCGGGACAATGAAGGAGTTTCAATATGATTAGGCTTATTATTTATAATATAATGAAGATTGAACTTATTATTTCATAATATAACAAGGACTCTCAATATGAAGCATTTTTATTCTTTGTAAAGCTCCTAGCCCAAAATATTCAGCAATACAATACCCATATTCTCTCTATTTTCTCATATACTCGTTATTTTAACAGTTGTGTTTGCCGACCGTTGATTTCCCAAAAATCATATAATCAGCAATATCCATACGACATCGTTCAAGTTATCTCACACACACATGTAGGAAAAAAGAACCAAGTCGATTTAATCACAAAATACGGAGTAATATATATATATATATATATATATATATATATATATATATATATATATATATATATAGTAGGGTTCCAGTGAGAACATGTGCTTAGGTGAGAATGTGAGAACACATCATGTGCATCCATATAATATTTTTTAATGGTCTAGATTAGATTAAGTGTGTGCGAACGCGCATTAAATATGTGCAAACACACTAAATCGCATTTGCACACATTTAAAATAATTAAGTTGGCATTTACACTAATATTAAATAAGTTCAAAAACTGTTGTAACAGCTGACCATTAATCGTGAGAATTAATTCTTGAATTAAAACTCGTAACGGTCCAGAGGAGGGCAAACGATTCTGGTTATGCTAACCAGAATCAACCAGTGAACCGAAACATGATTCAGCCTTTGAGGCCGAATCCATGTATGGCTCGTGCCCAGCTCATGATTCGGCCACCAAGGCCGAATCCATATGGCCCATGATTCGGCCTTGGGAAGCCGAAAGTGTAAAAAAAAAAAAAGAATAAGGGTCAAATAGGCCACTCAACTGCACACCAAAATGCAATTAGGCCATTGAACTAAAAAAGAATGCAATTAAGCCATTGAACAACACAAAAACATGCAATTTAGCCCAAAATGACTTGTTTACCTAGAGTAGCAAGTTACCAATTTTAAAATTAATTTTTAATAAATAAATAATTAAAATATTAAAAAAATGGCGGCCGGAGACGATTCATCTTCGGCCGGCAGTTTCTGTTTTTTTTTTTTTTTTTTTTTTAATATTTTAATTATTTATTTATTAAAATTTTTTTAAAAAAATTAATTTTAAAATCGGTAACTTGCTACACCAGGTAAACAAGTCATTTTGGGCTAAATTGCATTTTTTTTGTGTTGTTCAATGGCTCAATTGCATTCTTTTTTAGTTCAATGGCCTAATTGCACTTTGGTGTGCAGTTGTGTGGTCTATTTGACCCTTATTCCAAAAAAAAAGAAAAAAGAAAAAAAAAGATTATAGTCCACGTGTTGCTTGGAGCCCATCAAAAGTAATTGCGCATATAATATATATAAACATGTTTATGTAATATAAATCTGTAATCTCTTTGGTTGAAGAGTTTTTTTTTTTTTTTTTTTTTTTTAATGTTATGGTGGTTATTTTACTTGAATATGGTTAACTTATTTTTATGTATTTTAATAAATTTCAAAATTAAAATAAATAAATAAATAAAATAAAGGTAAAATATAGAAGTAAATGATTTAAAAGTAATTAACTAAAAGCTTGAACAATAATTAACTAAGACAGTGGATTAAAATAACAAAATTAACAATAAGACGAGGGAATGTGATAATACTTAAGAAATGGGTGAGTATTTCACATTCCCTTACAATAGCTAAAAACCTTATTATGGAGATTATGTTATATTCTCCGGAGAAATTACATAATTTAAACCAAACATGTGAATCATATATTTCCAAGTAAATATAACTTTAGTTATAGTATATAACTTGAAGCAAACGCCCCATTTTAAGGTTTGTCACCTACACGCACGTTGACTACTTGCCTCTTTATTGTTTCAGTTCAGTAAGTAAAGCATGGGTGCTACAACATTGGTCCATCAGGGCGAACTAGCTAGCTAGTAACTTTAATTTTAATTTGACGGCCGGCCGGCCGGCCTACCTGCACTGTACTAAAAAGGCACAGGGATAGCTTTAGGTAAGGCCTCGTGAGGTGTCTGCTGGAACTTGGTTTCAGCTGCAGGTAAGAATTGGCTCTCTTCTTCTTCTTCTGTGCAGATTATCTTGTTAATGAGATGAAGCAGGACGCGCTCGAGCTCTTCACCGTCACTCCATTCATGAATCTCAGCCTTTAAGAGCATCCGGTTTTCGGTTATCAATTTCCACACTGGGAAATCTTTCCTTGGCATCATAAAGTCTCCCTCTTTCAGCTTCAGGCTGGGGCAGAAATCACCAGCCCCATCACCAAGGTAGATCATTCTTTTCTTCCCTTCCTTACCCAAGGAGCCTTCAATCATTTCTATAATCTTACCCTGTATATATGTTGTTAACAATAGTATAATAAAACCTTGATTAGCTAGAATAAATTTATTAAATTAATAATTAATATGTCTGCCCCCTATTCACTCACTGATAGTTTCTCAATTTATATCAAACAAATTCTAAGCCTCCAAAACCCCTATCCTGCTCTCCAAGCAGCGTTGGAAGAGGTAAATCACATTCGGTCAGTCCCTAGGGTTCCACTCCTTACCTTTACACTCTGCACATAAGGGATTTTTATCACTGATCGGTCTAGGTTTCCTAATAATTCCTAAATTTCCAATGAGATTTAAACCCTAACTTACACTACCCCGTTAGAACAAGAATTTTTTGTACTTTTGGTCCCACGACTATAGTGACACTATCAGAATTGATCCACAATTTTCAAACCTTGCAATCTCGGTCCACGACTAATTTTTTTTTTTTTTAAATTTTTTTTTTCAAAAATGGTCCTTCCGGCCCATTTTCCGTCAATTTCTGGCAAAAGCAGGCAGGAAAATTGGCAGAAAATGGGCCGAAATGACCATTTTTGCAAAAAAAAAAAAAAAAACAAACAAACAAACTATAATTGTGGACCGATATTGCAAGATTTGAAAGTCGTGGATCAATCCTGATACTCAGTATAGTTATGGGAGTAAAAGTGCAAAAAACTTGCCAACCAATCACTGCTATTGTTGTACTGTTACTTTTTTTTTTTTTTTTTTTTTAAGGGAATTCTGTTGTTTACTGTTACATGATTGCCTTTGAAGGTATTGTGGGACATACATACATTTGGAATGTTCTAATCACATCAGAATATATATTTCCCTTTGCATGCATATATATCAAATATTATTTCCCTAATCAAAGCTAGCTTAATTAGTAGCGTTGTTCTTCTCCTCTTTATGTGTAGATCAGAACAAGATTAATTTGAGTATACCTTGCACATGTTGGGAGGGCAAACATTAATATTGTTGCAGCCGTGGGGAGAAGAGTGGAAATCATGGTACGGGCGGATTCTTAGCCTGCCTTCCTCGTCCACATAGCCCGGGTTTGAGTAGATTTCCGAGAAGCATTCGCTTATGCCGTGGTGTTTCAAGATTGTTTCTATGTAGAACAGGTTTGCATCGCTCACTATCCTCAATTCACACCTGGAAAACCTGCATTTCAGTAACAGGAAAAAAAACGAAGGGGGTGGGGGGAAAGAAGTGAAAGTTTGCACATTATTACCCTAAAGCATAAGCTGATTTAATGGCAGGAACTATCCGGGGATGAATCGGAGTCCGTCTGAGAACCTCTTCAATGTCCTCAATCTTCTTCCCCTTCGCGTGGATCTCATTCATCATCTTGTCCTGCAACAACAGATACAAATCAAGAAATAGAAAGAAGGTGGAGAATCGATCCAAGTAAACGCGCACGGAAATTATGAAATTTTCGACCACCAAACAGACAGTGATCATAAATCAAGTCAAAAGTAAAAAGTGATCGAAAATAGCAACAAAGGTTTTTCCGAATACCAAAAATGGTCGGAACAAGACTTTTTACTTTTTAAGATCACTGGTCGGAAATTTCATAATTTCCAGGGGCTAAACTACATATATATATATATATATATATATATATATATATATACTAACCATGACAGAGTTCCATGGCATGGTAGGAAGGAGGTGGTTGAAGAGATCAGTGAAACCCAACTCATCCACAAGCCAGTTATCGCTGTCCAAGTCGATAATGGTCTTGTCGAGATCAAAAACCACGACCACGGTTCCAGCCATTTTTTTTTTCTTTAGTTTTGGGGGAAGGTTGGAAGGGACCAGAGGAAGAAGGAACAGGGTTACGTGTTTTAGGTGGAGAGAAACCTTGGAAATGAGGGATATATATAGGAGCCAGAAAAATGTGAATCAGAGAGATCTAAAGAAGGTGCCAGGTTATATTATTAGTCATTTATACTAATAACTAATCTTTTACGGGATAATGCTCAATATTTTTTATTTTTTAAAAAATAAGTGCTTTAAAGTATATCAAGGCACACAAGATTATATTAGAATTGTTCATGCATAGATAATTGAATGTTAAATTTGCGTATTTAAATAAACAATTCTAAGTTTACAAATGCAAGATAATATAGTCAAGATTGATTATAATTGTCAATAAAATAATTGTATAGGTATAGTTGAAACCAAATACGGGATATAAGGGAGAGCAAATAAAAATTAGGGCATAAAATATTAAATATATACTAATATTGAAGAGCTAACTGCTGATTGTCAAACAAGGACATTGCGGGGTAGTTCTCACTTCAATTTGTTGTGTGATTTGAATACTCTTTTTGTCAACAAATCGCTCAAGTAGTTAATATGATTGACTTTATTAATTATATTTTTTAATTTTTTTTATGGTATTAATAAAATACTTGATGATAAATAAATATATATCATTATTTTGTATTATAACTTTGATATTTAATTAAAAAATAGTGCACAAAAAAAGATAATAGACAATGTAATATAAAGACAATATAACCAATAAAATTATTTCTCTTAATTAATTTATTGATAATGAATATTTTTTTTTGAACAACGACATTGTTGGGACAATTGTAACGAATATAATCAATTGATGAATTTGAATGTAAAGAAATTTTATATTGGAGAAAAATAAATACAATATAGCTAATGAAATTACTTCTCTTATTTAATTTATTGATAATGAATTTTTTTTTACTAAAGACATTATAAACACATAATTCTAAATTAAAGAAATGCATATGTTTTATTTTTTGTCGTAGCTACTAAATTATTATTAATTTAATAAGAGTAAAATAGAGTACTAATTATGCCAACTTTGATTGGGATGTGGTTTGAACCTAAGACCTTTCTTATTGAAATCAATGAGTAAGTTAACAGTGAACTAACAGAAATTAACGGAAAAGATAATATTTAACGGAAAAATTAAGGGAAATCATATTCATTAAGGATAAATTAGGAAATCTTAAGGAAAAATTAAAATCTGATCAATCTGAGTCATTTATTTGATTAAAAAATTTGACCGCTATTTTTTCTACACAGTATAGGCCTAACTCACTTGGACTCTTATTAGTATAGTAGATAAAAACGACAAGCACCTTGTGCTCAAATGGCACCGCTGTGGTGGTGGGGTATCGACTCTTTCGATTACACTAGTTAGAGAAATTATAGAACAAATACTACCAATTCCAAATAGATATAAAATCTAGTAATTATTATGATAATTAAATTAATAATTACATAAATATTAAAATAATTGACTAATAATTATTATACTAATTAAGCTAATAATTATAATGATAATAATATAATTACAATTAAACATGGATCGTCGAATTTTTTAATAATTATTAAAATTAATTTTTTGATAATATATATATATATATATATATATATATATTATATATATATATATATATATATACTTAAGGTATAATATAAAGAGAACAAAATAAATTATCATTATTATTCCTTCATGTGATTACAATGAATGTTAATTGCCTTATTATATAATTATGTCTATTGTCAATTGTCTAGTTTTCTATTCAATTCAATCAATTAGCTGTGTTTATTTTTTGGTTTAATATTTTGAATTTATATATTAAAAAAAAAGTTAATAAATATTATGTTCTTTTGTTTTGTTTTGTTTTTTTTTTTTTGGATCAACCGGCAAAGGGACACCCAACAAAAAGAGTACAAAATAACATGGCGTCAAATTGGAACACTCTGCTTATCATCCTCCAGAATGCGAGAAAGCTCACCCGAGGGCCTCTCGATCAAATTAGTACCACGCTGTAAGCCCCAAGATTTGGATAGATAGTCAGCGACTTGGTTTTGTTCTCTCCTGACATGCAGAACTTGCCATTCGACCAGACCCTTTAGCTGTGTTTATTTTTTGGTTTAATATTTTAAGAATTTATTATATAAAAAATAGTTAATAAATATTATGTTCTTTATTCTATATTAGTAATTATATAAAAAACAAATTTTAAATTAAATAAGTATATTACCAAGTATCCAAATGGATTCAAATCCTGAAAGTATACATTTGATGAATTGTATAAAGAATATGGTCCTACAGCACATATTCTACTCAATTTGTTTTAAATATTCGAACATAATAATACCGATTTGCGTATATTATTAAGTATATTCCATTAAAGAAATATATTAAATTTTATCTTACTAATAAATTAATAATATATCACTGGAAATTATGGAATTTCCGACCACCTGAAAGTGATCTTAAATCAAGTCAAAAGTCTTATTCCGACCACTTTTCGTATCCGGAAAAACCTTTGTTGCTATTTCCGACCACTTTTTGGTTTCAACTTGATTTAAGATCACTTTCAGGTGGTCGGAAATTCCATAATTTTCAGTAGTACCAAACATCTTAATGACAATAGTTCAAATGAAGCACTTGAATGTTAGACTAAATATATCACATGCATCATATAATATGTGATAACATGACTGACTAACCTCCAACCATAGTTCTTGAGACGGTTGAGCGATCCGAACGGCTGATGGTGTATGAGGAATGTGAGCAAGGACTAGTGACCTTATATAACCACGGGCCATCATTGTGATTGTATGTCTTTAGGTCTCCTAAATCCTAACGAGACTCCTAATCATAATGATAGTCTAGATTAGGATATTAGTGTTGCACAACATATCAAATACTTAATATTATCATAAGTCATAACTTATCGTAATGTTATAATAATAGTAATGGATAAAACGTTACATCAAACTCACATGATAAAATGTTTAGCAAATTAACAATACTCACCGTTTAACAGATACACTTTTTAAAATTGAGAACAAAATTTTTCAACAAAAGGAGGAACGATGAATGAATAACCCAAGTGACAACGGACTTCAAAAGGATGCTGCACAGAAAATATTAGAAAAATTAGAGCAAATTAAATAAATCAAAACTTTAATACATTTTATTTTTTAGAAAAAAAAAAAGTGACAAAAAATAGTACAATTGAGTCCTTAGCTTAAAGTGAGATAAAAATTGATACAAGTCCAACACCACCACCAACACTATCAGTCTATCACCACACCACAACTACCACAGCCACCACCATAACTATCACCATTACCACACGACCACCATCACCACATATTATTATTACTAGTTTTTTACGCGCATTGCGCGATTGGGATAATGCCCAATGCATTTTTTTTTAAAATAAGTACTTTAAAGTATATTAAGGCAGGATTATATTGAAATTGTTCATGCATAGATAATTGAAGGTTGAATTTGCGTATTTAAATAGGTAATTTTTCTCCCAAAGGTTGAGTCCCCAACCCCAAGGGCCCCCCACACTCCGACCCGACAGAGCATTGTGGGAAGTTGTAAATCACGGTGACTCAATGGTTCAGCAGACAGGGTCAAATGCTGATACGCACAAGGAATCTGCCCACTTTGGACATAATTCCCGCACTGCCGCTGCCGAGGTTCAAACCTTGGTCTCTTCTCCTAAATACTACCCACTAAACATTAAGCTAAGCCCGTGCAGGTTAAATAGGTAATTCTAAGTTTACAAATGCAAGATAATATAGTCAAGATTGATTATAATTGTCAATAAAATAATTGTATAGGTATGGTTGAAACCAAATACGGGACATAAGGGAAAACAAATAAAAATTAGGGCATAAAATATTAAATATATACTAATATTGTTTGAGGAGATTCCGACATTAGGATTTGTGGTTAAGTTCGATTAAGACTTTAATATTAGAATTAGATTAATGGTGTAGTTATAATTCTATATTAGACTTTAATATTAGAATTAGACTAACGGTGAATTAACCGAAAAGTTAAATGGATAATCATATAATTAAGGATAAATTATAAAATCTTAAATGCAAAAAATTAAAACCTGAACAATATGAACCATTCATTTGATTTAATAATTTGGCGGTCATTTTTTCTACCCAATGTTAATAATTAAATAAATTCACTGGTCAAATTCGCTAGTATAATCCGCTAACGCTAACCGCTAACTGCTGATTGTCAAACAAGGACATTGCGAGGTAGTTCTCACTTAAATTTGTTGTGTGATTTGAATACTCTCTTTGTCACAAAATCTCTTAAGTAGTTAATATGATTGACTTTATTAATTATATTTTTTTTAATTTTTTCATGGTATTAATAAAATACTTGGTAAATAAATATATAGCATTATTTTTGTATTATAACTTTGATATTTAATTAGAAAAATAGTGCACAAAAAGATAATAGATAATGTAGCGAATATAATCAATTAATAAATTTGAATATAAAGAATTTTTATATTGAAGAAAAATAAAGACAATATAACTAATAAAATTATTTCTCTTATTTAATTTATTGATAATGAATAATTTTTTTTTTTGAATAAAGACATTGTGGATACATAATTCTAAATTAATGAAATGCATATGTATTATTTTTCGTTGTAACTACTAAATTATTATTTATGGTTGGCTTTATTAATTATATTTTTTTTTAATTTTTTCATGGTATTAATAAAATACTTGGTAAATAAATATATAGCATTATTTTGTATTATAACTTTGATATTTAATTAGAAAAATAGTGCACAAAAAAGATAATAGATAATGTAGTGAATATAATCAATTGATGAATTTGAATGTAAAAATTTTTACATTTGAGAAAAATAAAGACAATATAACTAACGAAAATATTTCTTTTAATTAATTTATTGATAATTAATATTTTTTTTTCACTGAATAAAGACATTGTAAGGATAATGTAGCGAATATAATCAATTAATAAATTTGAATATAAAGAATTTTTATATTGAAGAAAAATAAAGACAATATAACTAATAAA